TGTTACTTACCGGAATTAGTGAAAGTGGATTTTGTGAAATTGGACCCTTCGAACATTGTGTCAAATAAAGGACGGATGGTCACCGTAAGTATACGTCGCATGAATATGCGGATATTCACCTAATTTACGGTGAAGCTTGCTGTAATGCCAGAGCTGCTCAAAGACTCTANCGTCTAAAATTTATTGTAAATATCAATTTTGAGTGCATAATCTTTAGCAGTTACTATAAATATCGCAGTTTTCGTATATCTGAAAATTACCGTTATATGGAAAGTGCGCGTGGTTAAAGTCCGATTTCGACCATTTTCAATACCAACCTACCTTGGATAAATGGAAACCTACATACCAAATTTCGTTGAGATATCTCAATTTTTGCTCGAGTTATCGTGTACACGGACGGACGGACAGACGCACAGACGGACGGACAGACAGACATGGCTTAATCGACTTCGCTATTCATTCTGAGCATTTATGTATATATTTGTCTATATCTATCTCGATTCGTTTTGGCTGTTACAAACAACCGTTATGTGAACAACGTTCATATACCCTTGTGCACAAGTGCGCTCGGGTATAAAAATGAAGGCTCCCGTGACTAACGAACACTAAATGCCAGTTTTGAACCACTGTTCTCTTTCAATGGAACTGGAAACTCAGCGTGCAATACGATCCTGGGCACAACTTTCCCTGTGCTTTATAGATTGTGCAAAGATTACCTATTAAATAAAAAGCTTTAAGTGGGGTGCGAAACGAACTGGTGAAGGTTTTCATTATATTTTATAAGGGAAATTTTTGTTGTGCATATTCTGTGTTTAAAAATTTACCTCTGAAAAATGCAGAGCTGATTTAAAGGACAGGTTAAGAAATAAAGGACAAAAGGCGTCCTTTATTTTGAAAAAAATTATAAAGGACAGGGGGTTAAAATAAAGGACTGCCCTTTCAAATAAAGGACGGATGGTCACCGTAAGTATACGTCGCATGAATATGCGGATATTCACCTAATTTACGGTGAAGCTTGCTGTAATGCCAGAGCTGCTCAAAGACTCTATGCAGAGAGATACCTCAATCGCCGGCATCCGGGTCGTAAAGTATTCGCCCGGACCCATAGAGAAATATATGAACGTAAGTGATTTTTACACCTATCTTGTTTGCTTCCTTGTTAACTATCATTTTTCACTTTTTTAAATTCGAAGGCGTGGCGGCGAAACAGGACGTCCTGCAACGGTAGATGTTGAAGTTGTGTTAGAGGAAGTGGAACTAGGTCCATCGACTTCATTGAGAATAATGGAAAGACGGACGGGAATACCAAAAACTACACTTCACAAAGCTTTAAAAGGTCAGATAATCGAAAAATTAAAAGCCTTATAGATATTTAAACAAATTTAAATGATTTTTAAAAAATTTGTGGCACCGGTAATATAGGTTTGCACAAAAAAGTTATGAATGTATATACCATTTAAAGAAGAGCACATGGCGGACTACGCCTATATTTTTACTTTTTTAGTTATTGACACACAAGAATTCAAAATATTTTTTTACCAAAGGACCTATTTCGAACTTCGAAAGCCCATATCTCGATTTCGGGGGCTAACTTTGAAAAACGGAGAAATTACTTTTTTACTTAAGACACAATCTCTTAAAAAAATTGTTTAACTTCCTTCTTAAAATAAATGGGAAGTATCAATCAATTGCAATTTAGTATTATTTTAGTCGATTGCCAAAGGTCACACAATGAGATATCAACGAATATTCGAAAAATTTAGTTTATACGAAAAACTATCATAAATTCGTGAATATGGAATAGACACTTTTCATCGCAAACTGCAGCGTCTTTTTTTACGGAATCGTTTCTAAATAATAACATCCACGGTACAAAACAAATCACAAAATGACAATCTACAGTGGTTTTCAATCAGCTGTAAGTTTTCCCATATCAGGGGAAACTGTGGATGAACTGTGAGGAATGTACTAATTGATTAATTCACAGACGGAGCTGCATGTGTTTCCAAGATTTACCCACTGAGTCGCGCGTATTTCAAAATTTAACGCTTATAGATGAAGGCCTACTCAAATAACATGATACTTCAAGCTTAGCACACAGCTAAAATTTCAAACTCACGTGAAATTTAACACACTTTCCATGAATTAAAATTTTCAAAAGCATCTATGTATTATATATTATGGCAATAATATTTCACGATGTTCAGGGAAATTTAAATATTTGCGGATTAAAATATCTCACTCATAATTTTTTACAGTTGAATATTATGAAAATCCAAGTTGCACGAGTGAAAGAGTGAAAACGACAATAAGAAATGGCGTGTTGTAGTGGATTACAGAAAATTAAATGATAAAATAGTACATAAATGACAAAGTTTCCATTAACAAGATTAAAGGACGTGTTAGATGTCTTAGAAAAAGCCAAGTATTTTACAACACTAGACATGACCAGTTCTTTTCACCAAATACCTTTACAAGACGATTCAAGACTACCAACAGCATTTTCCACACAAGATTCTGACGTTCAAGAAGCAACTAAAGAGTTGCCGCAATGTTTGAGAATAGAAACACAAGTTGTTTGTCTTGATATTGCTAATCTTATTTTATTGAACAAACTTAAAGCGATTTATACAAAATTTGTCACCGAAAGTGGTTTTCATGACTCCGCCCCTATCTTTTCGTTTTCATATAGGCTTCGTTTCTTTATACATTCCGGTTAATCCAATTTCAAAGCCGGAATAAACAGAATGCGTTTGAAATATACGTCAACATATCATCAGGAACGTTCTAAAGAATAAATAAACAAAAAAGTTTATTCCAAACGTTCAGAATGAATAAAGAAATGCAGCCATAATATCATCAAACAGTTTCCAAAGGATGTTAACAATTGCATTAAGTGGTTTAAAATCGGAAGCTTTCCTTTATGTAGATGACATCGTGTTGATGGATGTTCTTTAAAACACCACAATAAAAACCTCTCAAAAGTTTTTGAAAGACTAAGATACCTCAAGTTAAATGCAAGCAAATGTCAATTATTGAAATCAGAAGTCATTTACTTACGACATTTAATAACGGACAAAGGTATCAAACCCAATACCAAGAATTCCAGATTAAACAAGGACATTCATAGCATTTTGCAATTATTACAGACGTTTCATTCCAGACTTTGCACAAATCGTCAAATGTCTAAATTCTCTGCCGAAAAAAGGAAACCTTTCATTTGGTCTGAAGAATGCGAAATAGTATGTAATAATTTAAAAGAGCAGTTAATTAACCCACCAATACTACAGTACCCAGACTTTGACAAACCATTTATACTTACAACAGACGCATCAGATTTCGCTTTAGGAGCTATTTTATCACAAGGAGAAATAGGTCACGATTTACCAATCTCATACGCTAGTAAATCATTACAAAAACATGACGTCAACAAATGCATTATAGGGAAACGGTTATTAGCAATCCATTGGGGAATTAATTAATTTAGAACTTACCTCTATGGCAGAAAATTCATAGTAGTAACTGACCACTAGTGTCATCATTTTCACACAGAAATCCATAATCGAAAATGACAAGAATTAGAACAGATCTATCAGAATACGACTTCGAAATTGTATACAAACAAGGTAAAATAAATACCAATGCAGACGCATTATCACGCATCAAGATAGATAGCGACGTACTTAAATCAATGATCCCAATTAGTAAAAATGAGAAAGGAGATAAAAAATGTATTAACGTTTTAATAAGGAGAAAGGCCGCAAAATTAAAAGAAATTAAGGAGAAAGAAGTAGAACAAGAAGATAAGAAAGCCAGTACACGCATTAGTAAAGAAAACATGTCTCATGAGAAGCGTCGCGAACTTCACATTTGGGACTGTACATCTTTTAGTGATGTAAAGAAAATGAAGAAAATCAAGTTTAATATAGAAAAAGAACGTTGTGCTACAATTGAAATAATTAATAATGAAGTGCACATAACTTGTAGCGATGACCATTTGAATCTATGTTGGAGAAACTACATAGTTTACTAAGAAATTCACATACAGAGGAACTAGCCCTTTGTGTAAAATATTTTATATTTAAAAATATTGATATGAAGGCATTCAAGAAGAAATATAATGAATAAGAAATGAATAAATGCGCGTCAATAAAAATACTTATATACAAAGCTCCAAGGGAAATAGAAAGCATGATACTTAAATACAAACTGAAAGACGAATTTCACCGCGAAAACATTGCAGCTCACTTAGGAATTCGAAAAACTGTTCTAAAAGTCAAACAAAATATAATAATAATACAATATTTGGAAAAATATGAGACAGATGGTCAAAGAATTTTTAAACTGCAGAAAATGCACACAAGACAAAATAGTAAGACATACAAAATAACTACTTGCAATGACAGACACGCCAACGTCAACATTCGAAACTATAACGATTGAAACTGTAGGCCCACTACGCATATAAAACGGCTACAGATACATATTAACAATGCAATGTGATTTATCCAAATTTGTGAAAGCACACCCAATTGTAAGTAAAGACGCGAAAACAATAGCAACCACTTTAGTTGAACTAATTCTCAAGTATGGTTTCATTAGAGCATTAAAATATGTCAGAGGGACAGAATTTGTTAATGAGCTAATGACAAATGTATGCAATCTACTTAACACTAAACACATATTTTCCACGCCATATCACCATCAGACAATGGGTTCACTTGAGAAAATCCACAGAACACTTAACGAATATTTAATTTCATTTGCCGAAGATTATGAATGCGACTAGTGGATACCGTATTAAACTTTCCCATATAATACGACCCCCCACGTAGACACTTTGTATTCGCCGTATGAATTAGTATTTGGTAAATTACCCACGCTGCCAAGCGATAACATAAGCAAGCAAAATGAAATTTATGACATTGACAATTATGCCAATGGGTTGAAACTGAGACTCCAAACCTCAATAAAGAATACCAGAAACATAATAAAAATTGTAAAAAATAAACGAAAGTCAAAGTATTACAACAATTTTAACATATCCAAGTTCGAAATAGCAGACTAGAAAATAAAAAGAAAAACCAAAACCCGTATCATGGCCCTTATAAAATTGTAAATATAAGCGGAGTAAATTCCACACTTAACATTAATGGTAGAGATAATGACTTACACAATAACCTTTTAAAAAGATGCTTAGAAATAAACTTAGAAACAAAAAAAGATAGAAAATATTTATACTCATTACAATATGAATCTAGTAATAGCAAAATATGAACACATAAACACACGTAAAGTATCTGCATAACTCCACTCAAAAAAATTTATTTCATCACTCAGACGAAATAAATTTTTGTTTTTAACGTTAAGGGTGTAGTGATCACACATACCAAATGCAATAGAAACGGCAACCCTTACAAATGTACAACCAAAGCAATATGAGCACAGTGACCTAGATATGCTTTTGAGGGCAATGCTGACCAGGCGAATGTTATTAACATTTAGCGCTGCCGCTTGCAAGCAGAGTACTTCAATTATGCTCGCTGCTTCCGCTAACCGCTGTACATTTTGATTGGTTGCAAATTTTGTATAAATAGCTTTAAGTTTGTTCAATAAAATTAGATTAGAAATGTCTAGACAAACAACTTGTGTTTCTACTCTCAAATATTGCGGTAACTCTTTAGTTCCTATTGAAAGGCAGAACCTTCTCTGCATTTATAAAGAAGTTGATTTGAGATGACAAGCCTTTTTGCCACCTGATAGATACTAAGCGAAGAGCAACTATATGCCTTGACTTCAATATGAACAGTAAACTTTATTTCTAAAAACAGTAATTCATTTGTCTCTTAAACCTACTTACATTTGTCATACATATATACATATTTGCTAACGTTTCTTATTTTGCCGCAGATCGGTTCACTTTGTAAGTATATAAATCCATATGTACATTTTAACATCTCTTATATTTACTAGCAAATACATACATATTGCTACATACGCACATAGAACATAAGAAGATATATGTACATATGCACATACATACTAGAACATAGCAATGAGGGACCAGCAGCAACGAATGAGCTGATAAGAAAGATAACAAAGCGCTGACCTAGCGGATATCCTTAACCCTTGGGTGAACATCATGGCATACGGTTTAGTGAATCTTAACAGAAGGTCTATTAATAATAATAATACAAATAAGACCGGATAGGATGTGACTGTGGGTTTTCTGTATATTTCGAATTCTATATGGCTCGTGGTATTGTTTATTTTAATTGTCAAATCCAGATAGTTAATTTTTCTTCCTCTTCCGTTTCCATAGTGAATTTTATTGGTGTTGCTTGTTGAGATAGTCGAGTATCTGCTTCCTTTGTTTCCCTTTATTAAACATATTGCATCATCGACATATATCGAGTAGAATTTTACTCCTAGGTTGGTTGATAGGTCTTCCATATATTTGTCCTCTAGTGTTTCCATGAATACCTTCATGAGTATTGCTGAAGTCGGATTGCCCATTCCTAGCCCGTTCGTCAGTTTAATAATAATAACAGATTGGCGCTTACACATATGTTAGTGTTTGGCCGAGCTTCTCCTCCGATTTGTGGTGTGCGCCTTGATGTTGTCACACAAAGCGGAGGGACCTACAGTTTTACGCCGACTCCGAACGGCGATTGTATTTTTATGAGAAGCTGTTTTTCATGGCAGAAATACACTCGGAGGTTTGCTATTGGTAGTGTTGTCAATGTTGTTGTGGCTAATTAACATTTAATTTTAATATTTTTATTGAGCTTTGTATCACGATTATTTTATTAGGAAAGATGGAAAAAGCTACAAAGTCTAAGCGGTAGAAGTTATAGCAGCTATTTCGGAAATCACATCTCTTCATTAGACTTCTTTTTCTAGACTTCAGCAGGGATCGAACCCGCGTCATCGATGTGCAGCCAGAAGCGTTAACCACTTAGCTATGCACACCCCGTAAACTCGAGTTCCTAATTCATTTGCCTTATTCAACCTACTGCTATCAAGTGCAGTTGATTTGGCGCTATTTAAACTTGACAGCGTGGCTGTTGTTGTCAATTATATACATGCAATTGGTTTTTGTATAGTTTCAGGCTGGCTCTTCCTAAACTATGTACTTGCCAATGTTATTGTGGCTTATTAACATTTAATTTTAATACGTTTTGAGCTTTGTACCACGAATATTTTATTAGGAAAGATGGAAAAAGCAACAAAGTCTAAGCGGTAGAAGCTATATCAGCTATTTCGGAGATCACCACATCTCCTCATCAGACCTCTTTTTTCTAGACTTCAGCAGGGATCGAACCCGCGTTATCGACGTGCAAAGTCAGAAGAGTTAACCGCTGAGCTTTGCACACCCTGTAAACTCGTGTTGCTCGTGTTAAGTTTAAATAGCGGCAAATCAGCTGCTCTTGATAGCAGTAGGTTGAATAAGGAAAATGAATGTGTCGAATGATACGAATTTAGTGTTTTTGTTGATCTTCAACGATTTCATCTTTTTGATTAGTTCTTCTGTATTCGTAGTAGTGTATTTATTGCGTAAATCCAGGTTATGCTTCAACAGGTATTTAGGTACTTGGAGAGTCTGTATCCAGGAGCAACTTGTGGTTAATGATAAGTTTCATCAGAGTGCCTAGTTTGTGTATCTTCGGCAAGGAAATCAACGGAGGGGCACTCGGGTTCATAAGTGTTAGTCTATATGCCAGATTATCCTTTATTATGGTTGTGCTTCTCTTTATGGTCAGGCCTCTCGCAGATTACGAGTGAACTCCTGTCGTGAAAAAAACTTCAGAACACGTGCTGTCAGCAATTCCGACGCATTCGTATTTAGTGCTACCTTTGGTTTTTGTTTGTTTTTATGTTTTGGTTTATTAATTCTAAATCAAAATAAAATAACTCGAAGTCAGTGATAACATTCTCACGAATTTCGAATTTGCGGGAGAATTTCGCGATCGAGACTGAATTCATGACAGGCCTGAGTAATTTTTATTATTACTTGGTATTCTTCAGTGGGATCTTTTCCTAACTTATTGCACACTGTTTCAGTTATTAGGTGTAAACCTTTTTATCAATTAATTGATAATTGCCTTTGTCCGCTTTTGTGGGTATAACCAGGGCCGAAAAGTTTAAGGTTTCCAAGCTTAATATTAACGATCATGCTTATTTTGCTTATGTCAATGTATAAAGCCGAGTACGGACCTTTTAAGAAAATTTTCAAGAAAAATATTGTCGTTATTTCTTGTGTGTGAATAGAAGTGTTCAAGGAGTTTTGACATCTGATATTTTACAGTGTGCTGTTCCACTTTTTCCTTTGGAAAAAATGGAACGTGTATACATATAGCTCTGTTGAAAACAAGAGTAAATACCTTGTGCTCTTCACAAACAAACTTTAGCAAACCATAGTCGAAAGCGTACCAAAATTTTTTAAAAACTTCGTACTGCTTAAGGAATTTTGGCTCAATAAATTTTTCTTGACCATTTCTTTGGCATTTTTTTATTCGTTGAAATGTTTACAAATCTTAATATATAAAAATCCCGTGTCACTGTGTTCGTTTACGCTAATCTCCGAAACTGCTGAACCGATTTCAATGAAATTTTGTGGGTGTGTATTGTTGGTTCCAACTCAAAAGATCGGATAGATTTGAGTTCGAGAAAAAAGTATTTTTTTCATCGAATTTTTTTCGTGCGTTTACGCTAACTAATAACTGCCCAAATCCGAAGCGGAGTTTCACAATGTTATTCGTGGCTATGCTTCATATGTATGTTTATGTTGGGGACAAATAGGTTGGGTAGCAACAAAATAATGTAGTATGTATTCAAACATATAAACATGCGCACAAAACAGCAACAAGCCATTTACCGTTTGGACACCATCCAATGTTATCCATTGCCCTGGCTGATGTTTGTACCGTAACCAGAGATCGTTTTTTCAAACGCAGTGAATAATAATAGCAATAATTTTTCAATCCTTGAAATAAACTGAATAAAAAACATTTAACTGTAACTAAATTTTGTTGTCTTGGGAGCATATTTATCAATGTGTTAGTGCTTATCTAAGCGCTTAACACCGGCTTTTTCCTGGTTATATATTGTTTGCCTTAAACTTTTCTTCGAGCCCTTTTATGGTTTGGTTTTCGTCCTTCTGCTTTCTAGTTTTCTTGGCCTCTATGTCTTTTTCAATTATGTGCCGACATATGTGTCCTGTTCCTCAGTTGGAAGCCGGGATATAATATCTTCAGTGTACACGATGGTTTGTTCAAATTCCCTCTATCGTTTGTGACTATCAATGTTGTGTTTGAGAGCTTTCTTAAATAGTTCTGCTTCTTGCTCGTTGATGTAAGCCTCCGTCAAGTTTACAAATCTGGAATGGAATTTCTGTTCTGTACTTTTCATGCTTTTGTTGTTGCTTTGCTTCGTCCTCAAGCTATCGAGTTTCTTGTTCAACTTTTCATACTTCTTCTTCATGCATTTTTTGTTATCGGTTTCTATTTTCCCATTACTTACATCAATGTTTGGATTGGCAGACGCTCCGATAACTGTAGGTAGATGGCCAAAAGCTACGCATTTGTATGTTCCTTTTTGGCGCGCAAGTTTTTTAATTCACGTCGGAGGTATTTGTTCTCAGCTGTCCTGATGATTTTCAGACACGCTACTGTTTTTGATTTCGGTTTCGTTAGTGCGTATTTTGGTATAATATTCATAGCAATATATTGTTTATTAAACCAAATATTGGCGTTTATGTTGTTGATCTTCAGTGAACGTCGTTGGTATTCAGTCAACAGCAAGTTGGTTTTGGAATAATAGGCCTGACCGACATAAATATTTCCTTTTTGGTTATTGTTGTTTCCGATAGTGTGGGCGTATAATGTATTTTGGAACGAATTTCCGTTATCCCTTGTCAAATTTAGTTTGGAGACAGACCGGTTTCGGCGTTGTGCCATCTTCAGTGTAATTTTTCGTTCTGTATAATTTTTGTTGGTTGGTTGGTTGCTCCTTACTAAGTACCTCTTTTCGTTTTGTTAGGTACGTCTTCTTCGTTTTGCAGTATTTGTGATGTTCAATAGGTAGATTAATCGTTGTGGCTTGTTTCTGCCGGCAGGTAGAAGTTCGTGATTTCTACCTTTTTTGTAATTCTAGTTGTTGTTGTAATTTTTTTTCACGTACAGTAGTTTTATAGGTTCAAACAGTACGTTTATTATTTGTACTTTGAATGTATTATGTTTATATATTTCAATATTTTCTAATATATTCAATCTTTGTCCTTTATGTTGTACATGGAAAAGTTCTGCTGTTTGTCCAAACTTCAGCGGTGCGCATTTATTTTTGATAATGTGATTTGCGAATTTCAATTCTGTTGTTATCTCTGGGTTTCGTGTTTTCTTAAATAATCCCTTATGTGTTCGCGATACCTTGTTCTTATATTTCGTCCTGTTTATCCTATTTAGCTGTATCGCCTTGTTTATCTAAGGAGTCTTCCTCGCTTGGTTTCTCTTTCAATATTCTTCTCACAGGCCTTACGAAGGCTGACACGCTCATCGGCTAGGACAGCCATTCAGCAGGAAAATTCGGACGGGGATCCGAAATACATCCCGCTGGAATCAAGCGGGCTGCAGCAGCGTCGGTTGGTGTGAGTAGGACAGCCAAGGTGCGTTCAGTAACATCCGTGAAGCCTCTTCAATCAGCTTTGGTGAGGTTAACATAGATCCGGTGATATGTGCAAGCAAAGTGGAGATGACTATAGACAGATGGTTTGATGTTAAGGTCAGGATAGGTCGCCATGATATGCTGTTTATCAGACCCGCGCTGTTAGGTCTGGCGAGCTGCAGCAGCTGCCCATAATCTTTGTGGGTACGTCGTCGTTCCTTGCGCAGAATGTCGATTCGTCTATTTGCTCCGCTAAATGCCAAAGATACTGGTGCGCGTTAAAGTCACCAACTACGGGTTTTCGCCTCTGAGTAGCGGACCTTTTTCAGGGTGATATCCAGCCGTGCAGCTGGTAACATGGACCTCGCCTGACCGGATAGCAACACCCTGACATTCTAGAATGGTATCGCTGCGGTCTATATCTGCTTCTTTAAGGCTATACTGCACGGTAGGCCACCACCGATATCTCGCTCGCTATTTCGACGGTGTACGTTGCATCCGGCGCAATTCAACAGAGTTGAATTGATGTGCAACTTCGTCGCTTGGACTGCAGCTATTAATATTCAGTTTCGGCCCTTGAAGACTCTTATCTCCTCGATCTTGCTCTGAAATCCGTTGCAGTTTAATTGTAGCACCTTTGTGTGCCTTGGAAGAGCAATTGCGATGCGGGGTGTTAGGGCGTTGTGTTGCCTGCCGGTCCCCTGCTGTATGTTCTGCAGACGGGGGTGATGCCAGACGTGGTGGTAAGCGGCGTCGCGAGGGAAGTTTGCAACCGGGCAGCACATCAGACGCCCACGTAGTCACTCGTCTAATCACGCGAGATGCGGAGTCCAGAGTGAGCCCTAACCCTCCGATGAGTGACAGTGCCGATGACGTTAGATTCGTGAGAAGGTCCTTAGGGACCTACAAAGAGTTGCTCGATGTTTCGACTGTACATGTTGTCTTTTGATTAAATTAACGTCCTGCATATATATTAGGAATGAAATAATTTGAAGAACAAGTGAAAAAAAAATCAAAACATGAAGACAAGTAACTTGTTATTTCTTCTAAAATTGTACAAGGTCCCTAGTGACCTTGTCACTAATCCCCGTACTNCTAAAGTGGCACCAGTCAAGACTGAAGTTGCACTTGACTGATGTCGCGTTACGGTATATTCTGGAATGACAAACCGAGCAGATTGTCGGAGGGACTAGGAGTTGGCGGCGGCGGTGTGTGGTGCTGTATTGTTCGTACGTGTGTCTATTGTTGTCATGTTGGGGTGTGGGTGTGTTGGTGATGTGCTGCTCGGGCGAGTGGTGGTTTGCGGTGGAGGTCCGGTTCGCACAGCATGGAGCCACGACGCAGTGGACGAAGCTTCAGACTGTACAGAACACCGCACTTAGGACAGCGACAGGATGCCTCCTGATGTCACCGGACACCATCCCCACGGCGAGGCGCAAATGCTCCCCGTAAAGGAGCACAACATAATGCTCTGCAAGCAGTTCCTGATCGAGAGCCCTCGTTTAGGCACGTCAGGAGGCATCTATATGAACTGACGGACGAAGTCCAGAGGTTCATCAAGCAACCTCTGGACCCGTCAGCTTACCGACTGGCCCTGAACGGCATTCACAGGGAGTCAGTCTCGAGTTATGTAGACTCTAGATCTGTGAATGCCGTTCTAGGCATACCGCTCCCGGACATAGACGAGACGGAGCTTCATCTGCTTCGGGAGACACGAACGACAATAGCCCAACTTCGCTCCGGCTACTGCAGCAGGCTAAACTCCTACCTGAGTAGATTGAATGAGGATGTGGCAAATGAGTGTCCGGCATGCGGAGAGACCCCACATGACTCGAAACGTCTCTTCGCATGCCCGGAAAACCCGACAACCCTAACGGCNGCAACCTCTGGACCCGTCAGCTTACCGACTGGCCCTGAACGGCGTTCACAGGGAGTCAGTCCCGAGTTATGTAGACTCTAGATCTGTGAATGCCGTTCTAGGCATACCGCTCCCGGACATAGACGAGACGGAGCTTCATCTGCTTCGGGAGACACGAACGACAATAGCCCAACTTCGCTCCGGCTACTGCAGCAGGCTAAACTCCTACCTGAGTAGATTGAATGAGGATGTGGCAAATGAGTGTCCGGCATGCGGAGAGACCCCACATGACTCGAAACGTCTCTTCGCATGCCCGGAAAACCCGACAACCCTAACGGCCTTGTCCCTGTGGACAAACCCCACAGAAGCTGCACGCTTCCTAGGGCTGCCGTTAGTGGAACTTGACGACAACGACTGAGATACCAACCGTCCTGGGCGGGGTTGTTGTAGACGCTACAACAACAACAACAACATAACCATACTTTGAAATTTCATGTAACTTATGTATAATTAAAAGAAATACCACTTTCAGAACAGGCGGCAAACCCTCTCAAAAATTATTTAGGTACTAAAATTTCCTTAAATATTTTTCGTCTGACATTGTTATAAACATTTCAAGTAACTGATGAATTAAGTGGAAATTTATTTTTTAAACACATGGCAACCCTCCTAAATATAGTTCTTAAATAAAGGATTTTAAACCCATTTTTATAGTTGTTGTTGTTGTTGTAAACGGATATCTCTCTGAACTTTCTCGCTTCTTCACTGCAAAGTGTCTAGCCCTCTCCCCTACGAAATCCTCTGCGACCCTGTTCACAACCTGGACGAAGGAGGTCAGGCTACCGCTAGGAATTCACGTCGATTACACACCAATTCCGATGGTGAATAATCCTAAAATACTCGGAGTAACATTGGACAGCCTGCTCTCCTACTCTACGCACGCAACCGCTATTGTCAATAAAGTACAGAGCCGCAACAAGGTCCTCAAGTCGCTAGCCGGCAGTACTTGGGGCAAAGACAAAGAAACGTTGCTGGCAACATACAAGGCAATAGGCCGGCCGGTTTTNACAAGGTCCTCAAGTCGCTAGCCGGCAGTACTTGGGGCAAAGACAAAGAAACGTTGCTGGCAACATACAAGGCAATAGGCTGGCCGGTTTTAAACTACGCAGCACGAGTGTGGTCGCCGGCGACTAGTAGGACGCTGTGGACGAAGCTACAGACGGTACAAAATACAGCACATAGGACAGCGACCGGATGCGTCCTGATGTCACCAGAACACCACCTCCACGATGAGGTGAAAATGCTCCCAATTAGGGAGCACAACACGATGCTCTGCAAGCAGTTTCTTGTTGGGAGCCACAGATGTGGCCACCCAAATAGACAGCTGCTTGCAGAGGAGCCCTCGCCGAGGCACGTCAGGAGGCATCTATATGAACTGCCGGACGAAGTCCAGAGGTTCATTAAGCAGCCTCTGGACCCGTCAGCTCACAGACAGGCTCTGAACGGCATTCACAGGGACGCAGTCTCGAGTTATGTAGACTCTAGGCTGTTTGATTTTCCTAAGTTTGCTCGATTTGTCTCTAAACATTACCGACGAGTGTCGACCACTTAGATAATTTGCCGACCACCGTTTGAGCCTCTGTGGGAGAGAGGAAGCCTCTATATCTTCTAGTAGCGTTGAATGGCTGACAGTGTTAAAAGCCTTTGACAGGTCCAACGCTACTAGAATCGTTCTCTCACAGGGACGTTTACGGTTAAGGCCACGAGTTATTTGAGTGTTATGGCGTTAAGTGCTGTTGTTGTACTGTGCACTTTACGGAAACCATGCTGATGCTTCTCTGGGGTCAAGTGGTTTGTGAAATACGGCAGTAGCAAGGCCTCGAGTGTCTTCGCTACCGGGGAAAGGAGTGTTATCGGACGATAAGAATCTCCTATGTTGGCAGGTTTCCCCGGTTTGAACAGTGAGGCCACTCTCCCCACCTTCCAGATATCTGGGATGATGAGAGTGGCCATCGACAAATTGAGGACCTCCGTTAGGTACGCTACCCCCGCAGTACCCCAATTTTTCAGCATCAGCATGCATATTCCGTCGGGACCCATGGCTTTGGAGGCTTTCGCCTTCCCGATGGCCACCTGAACTTCACCGCAAGTGAAAGCAAGGGGGGCACAGGTTGTTGGCAGTTTGTGCAGCCTTCTGGTCACTCGACGCTTGGCTTTGTCCACCGGAGGATGCAGTATGAACTGCCGGCTAAAATAGCTCGCGCATCGCTCCGGGTCCGACGAAGCATGGTCGCCGAAAGAAATTTCGACTCTGTCGTCGTGCTTCGTCGGATTGGACAGTGACCTCACGGTTGACCAAAGCTTACTCACACCAGAGGTGAAGTTGCAGGTCTTCAGATGATCTTCCCACTTCTTCCGCTTATGTACGTTTATTAGTTTCCGAATCTACGCGTTGAGATCCCTGATACGGGGATCACCGGGATCGGCCTGACGAAGGCTGTCACGCTCATCGGCTAGAACAGCCGCTTCAGCAGGGAAATTTGGGCGTGGGTCGGTGATACATCCTGCCGGTACGAAGCGAGCTGCAGCAGCGGTGACAGCCCTGCGGAACTTACGTTCACCAAGGTGGACGTCGGTTGGTGTGGGGAGAGCAGCGAAGGTGTTTTCAGTAAATTCCGCGAAGCCTTTCCAATCAGCTTTAGAAAAGTTGATATATGTTCGGTGCTCCGCGGAAGCAAACTCGGCTGGTTTATCAATCGAGATGACTATGGGCAGACTGTCTGATGCTAGGGTCAGCATAGGTCGCCATGATACGCTGTCTATCAGACCAGCGCTTACAATTGTTAGATCTGGCGAGCTGCAGCAGCTGCCCATAATCCTGGTGGGTGCGTCGTCGTTCATTGTGCAGAATGTCGAATCGTCTATCTGCACAGCAAAGTCAGTTCCCCTACGATCGTTTGACAGGCTTCAGTGCCAAAGATCGTGGTGCGCATTAAAGCCGCCTACTACCATACGGTTTTCACCTCTGAGGAGCGCACCTATGTCAGGGTGACATCCTGCCGGGCAGCAGGTGACAGGGGGTATATAAACGTTAAATATTTCGAGCTCAACATCGCCTGACTAGATAGCAATGCCCTGACATTCTAGGGTGGTATCCCTGCGGTCGATGTCTGCTTCGATAAGACGATACTGCACGGTGTGGTGCGTGATGAACGCTAAGCCACCACCATTATCTCGCTCGCGATCTCGACGGTGCACGTTGTACCCGGCACAATTCAACAGTGTTGAATTGCTGTGCAACTTCGTCTCTTGGACCGCAGCTATCAATATGCCATACCGTCCCATGAAGACGGTTATCTCCTCGATCTTTCTGAAGCCCGTTACAGTTCAATTGAAGGAGCTTCATGTGGTTCGGGAGACGTGTGGTGATGTGGGGTGTGAGGGATGTGTGTGGTCGTGCCGCAGTTGGCTGTGTGCGCTGCTGAGGTGGTTGCCGCCCTGTAGTGGTGGCGGGTGGCGTCGCAGTTGAGGTCGGTCTGTGTGGGACTGCTCAGGTGGACTGGGGTTAGCCGTGGAGGCTGCTCTGTTAGAGCAACAGGGGGCCACAAAAGACGTGGTCCACTGCCGATGTGTCCGTAGTCCTGAGCAGACTCTGAGGTGACTCCACCCCTCGCAAGCATTGCACTTNCAGGTGGACTGGGGTTAGCCGTGGAAGCTGCTCTGTAAGAGCAACAGGGGGCCACAAAAGACGTGGTCCACTGCCGATGTGTCCGTAGTCCTGAGCAGACTATGAGGTGACTCCACCCCTCGCAATCATTGCACTTGACAGAGGTGGCGTTGTGGTGTAGTCGTCTCTGGCATACACAGCAGGTGTAGGTTTCTGGCCCTGGGTTTGACTCGATGCCAGCACTATGTATCGAATGTAGCCCTATGGACGAACAACTTCTGAGATACTTCGCCGACCTAAACGGGGTTAGATCGCCGAAACAACAGCCCTTGGTCGGGTAAAACCCGAGTCATTCCGGTACGTAGAACCGGCTGTCGTGGGAATGGCCCATTTCCATTGATGACCATCGGTTAGTAATTCATTTAACTTATTAAATAATTTTAGTTTAGCCCTTTAAACTGGGGCAACCTTCAAACACATCAAAAATGTTCTAAAGTGTCAAACTAAGTATTTCTTGAAGAACTTTCATTTGACATTCATCGTTAATATTTCATATAACTTGGGTATAAAATAGTTCAATTAGACTGCCCAAATAGGTGGCAACCCTATTCAAAATATTTCCAAACTACTACCTTGTTAAACCTCTTTTGTATAACACCCATATGGCGATACCTTATTAACTTACCAAATTCCTTTAATTGAAATTGAATTACATTTTTTTAACATGTGGCAACCCTCCTATACTTAGTTAAGTTATAAAGACTTTTCCAAACCATTTCGATTGATTCCCATATTTAATGATTGATTGCGCTTTTTAATTAGTTTGAGCTTAATTTCTTAACAGGTCGCAACTTTTTTCGAAAAAGTAAAACCTTCTTGAACATGCTCACCCTAAGCCCTTTAATTGGTACCGCACTTTTGAAAATCGAACGCACGGTGCGGATCCGAGGGCATTGATTAGTAAATAACTTGAGTTTAATTATTTAACAGATGTCAACTCCTTTCGAAAAAATAAATCCAGTTTGCACATCTACAGGCCAAGGGCTTTAATTTGACGCCCCATTTTTGAAAATCGAACGAACGGTGCAGTTCTTTTATGCTGCACAAAGAATGCCTTCGCGTATTATATATATACATAGATTGTGAAACATAATAAATAAACTGCAGCGATGTGATCAGTATCCTCTTTCTTGTTCATTGCATTTGCCCTTTTCTGCATTATTCTTAAGCTTTCTAATGTATTGTATGTATGGCCATATGCTGCGCTAGCGCAGTGCTGTTTCTTTGTTTTTTTTTTTATGTCTGCTTCGTGTTCGCTAAGCCGAGTACCCAGGGCTTGGTGGTTCCGATGTACACTTTGTCACAGTTTTCGGCTTCTTTACCATTGCACCTCATTTCATAAACCACATTGGTTTGTTGTTTGATTTCTATGGGGGTTTTGGTTTTTGTAAATATTGTGGATAAAGTGCAATTGGATTTGTATGCTGCGTTATATTTTGTTGTTTAGCCATGTGTTGATTTAAATTCTCGGACAACTGCGGAATGTAAGTAACGCTGAAATATCTATTTGTGATGTTTGTTGTTACTTTACTCGACGTTCTATTTAGGTGGCCGTTTACTTCTGTAATTTTTTGTTTTATTAAGTCGCATGTTAACTTTTCTGGGTAGCTATTACTTTTTAGGATTTTTTTGAGTTTTTCTATGTTTATGTCGTTAAATTTCCGGTCACTCAATGGAAGTACTCTGTGTATTAAATTTTTGGCCGTGTTGATTTTGTATTTTTTAGGTTGTGATGATAGGAAATTAATCACACGACCCAAAGACGCCGGTTTGTGTACCAGTCCAGTAGGGATTATTTCTTTCCCTGTGGATGTGAACGTCAAGAAAGGGGATGCTGGCTTTATGTTCCATTTCCATGGTGAATTGGAGTTTATGGTGATATTTATTAAGGGTTTTTAAGATTGTATTGACGTCTTGACGGTTAACTATTGCAAACATATCGTCAACATATTTGGATATAAATTTAATATCGATGTTTGAGTGTTTCAGCTCCGGAAAGGTATTGGTAAGGTGAAGTAGTCGTATTGCTCGCAGGAGATTTGCGTAAGACGATAACTATCACCGAGCGTGGCACTGCGGAAGGGGAGATAAGTGCGTGCATCAATTACACAGGTCAACAACGTTTTGTTCTAGGAAAGTGTAAGGTCATTTTCGAAACATGGAGACTTCAAAATGCGATATCTCAGTGAAAAATTAAGATATTTGAGCAAACTCAACGGCATTTAAAAGAGGAAGACTTATACTTTAAAATACCACGTCTACTTTTTTATGAAGAGCAAAATCTTCGTAGCTACATAACCTCAAAAATGGGCAAAAACAGCGTTTTTTGCACTTTTAGGTTAGGATATCTCAAAGTCCTGACGTGATAGAGCAATTTAAACCCCGGATTCGGATTCTACGCAAAAAATTACTTCGGAAATGACACTACACTTTTATAGAACATTCCGAACCCATTTTTTTGCAGACCTGTGTTATTATTATTAATACTGAACCTCACAACTAACATCCAGTGACTGAGGATCCGGATTCTTTGCTAAAGACTTCCTTGAAATCGGAGAGGGCCGCATGATAAAGTGCCTGGTGAGGCGACCACATACATTTCTGTTGATACAGTAATGGCAAATGAGGATGTAACAATATATCCTATAGAGTTACCAAACTCTTAGGAATTGTCAGGGATGCCGTCGCAAAACCTGGAATTAAAAGTTGAGGTGCCAGTCATATTGATGCTTAACCTGTACGCATCTCATAATACATACTGTGCAAGCCGCATCACCACTGGAACAATCAGAATTCATACCTCGTATTGTTTAAGAAATGTATTGCAGTAGATGTCATTAATTTGAATTACTTAACTTTTTTAATAAAAGTTAAATGATTTGTTTCCTTTGCTGTTACATTTAGAAGAATTACGTTAAACCAAACATCACGCGGGCGAAGCTGCGGTCAAAAGCTAACATATGTGTATATAAAAGTATTCGTTTCGATTGTTTTGGTGAGAAAGTTTGGAACCTGCCAAGAGTTTTAAATATTCTTAAAGATGATAACTATCGTTCACTGCTACTAACAAGTACTTGGCTTAAATATAGAAAACAAATTTTAAATGAGTTTTCTTCAAAATATTGTTTAGTTTTAAGTGTCATGCAGACACACACCACTTATTGTTATAAACTTTAAAATTAAAATAAATACATGATTATACATTTATTTATTTTAATTTTAAAGTTTGTTTGAATTTTTTAAGGGTTCTTATAACCCAAGATCTAAAGAAAATAAATAAAATTATTACAACTAGATACTATTACTATAACGCAAAGATAAAACCTTTTTTCCCAAACTATCTTTGATTTAATCGTAATTCACAAAAATGCTATTATATAGTCTAGTCTAGTCTTACCGGCAAATAAGGCGACTTTGCACACAGTGCGAGTACGGCAACTTTTTTGCTATCTGATTGAAATCCTCCTGACAAACGGGGCAATGGAGATTTTTACAATTTGATGAATAGCATTGTGGCGTTTTTAATGCTGATAGGCCAGCCTAAGCGAAAAAGAATTACCATAGTATCATTTCAATAATTTCATATATTCATCTTACTTGGATTGTGACGCTTAGTAAAGACTGTGTTGATAGCTGGAATATACGATAATTTTCATTTCGAAAGTTCAGAACGAGGTCCTTCCAACGACGTTCACTAAATAAGCCTTTATATGGCTGAGTATCTAAAAAAATATAATAGAGTTTTAATTAATAATGAATCATACAACTTAATTCCACAGTAATTGGTAAAGGATAAACGGTTTGTTTTCTTCTTCTTGATTAGCGGCGTAACCGATTTTGGCCGACTTCCCCCTTTTTTTACGAGCATCGCGACCCGCGTTAAATACTTTCAGAGCTGGAGAGTTTCTGTCCATCCGTACGACATGAACAATCCAGCGTATCCGCAAAGCTTGTAAGTACAGCTAATCGACCCATCGTCTGCGGAATTCCCCATCGCCAACACCACGAGTCTTCCGCAAAATATATCTCTCGAAAATTCCGCGAGCCGCCTCGTCATTATGGCATTATGCGCAACTTCTAGTGTGATTTTTAAACGACGAGATAAGACTTTACTTCTCAATAGCATACTCAGCCTTAAAAAATATGTTGGCAAGTATTATTCTCCATTAGATTTTAAGGCTGTTGTGCTGGTCCCTAAACAAATTAACTTGTCTAAATTTTTAAACTTATCACAGTCAGCAGTGACGTTTGTCTGATTACAGAAGCTACTTTGTTTTGTCCCCTTTCACCGCCAGACCCACCCGCTTTAATTCGCTATCCATCTACTATCGTAAAATATTGTGCCTGAGCGGTTCAGTTTTGCGTCTCTTATTATCTTCGCCAACACAACAGCGAATCGCCTTGCCTTAAACCTCGTTTGGTATCAAACGGCACGGAAAGGTCTTTCCCAATTTTGACGGTATCGCTCAACGTTCTTTTACACAGGCGTATTAGCTTCGCGGGTATACACAATCGACAAAAAAAGGCGGTGTCATATTTAGGCTATTTCTAGAGTACCTGGCGGTACGTATAAAACGCCTCCTTAATTCAGGGTTTCATGCGTCACCGTGCCCACTGGATGGCTTGCAGTCAAGGGGCTTTCCGACTGTATTTTAACGACGCCTCCCGGATCCCTGTCCGCCTCCGGGAGTAACGGTGGACTTACCACAGCATGGGGCTCTGCTGTGGCCGACCGTTCGTTTCCCTCCTATTTTTACCAGGTCGCAGAAAGGCTTCGGATCAGTATGCGACCAAAGACACAGCTGTAATGCAAAAAAAAACAACCCAGCCCCGTATCCCTGCACGGGTAAAAATGCCGCCGACGAACACGGCGTTAATCAAGTCAAAAAAACCTTGGCTACCGCTAGTACGGCTCCAAAAGGGCCTTTACGGCCAAATTATTCGGGTTAGCCCGAAGGTCTCTCCGCGCTCACCATCGGCTTCAACGTACCCCTCGAGGGACGCAATGGACCGGAGATAGCGGCGCAAAGTAGGCTTGAACGGTCGAGTGAAATAGTTTTCCGGCCTTCCATGTCCAAAGCGGCAATGGAGAAACCCCTCGAGGGTGTTCTATAGCGGCCGAGGCGATGGAGGCACCCGGCACTAAAGAGCCTATTGCGGTCAAGGTAGTTGATAGGCTTGACGCCAGGCGAGAAGTCTCTAACCCTCAAAGAGCTGCGACAACAAACCCTCCCCTGGCAGCTCTAGGGCGAAGAAGGAGGTTCGTCCGGCCGTGAAGGCGTAATTCGGCAAGAACCCTTGCCGAAAGCCGGAAATGGACGAAGACCAAGGACGTCCCCCGCGAACCCCGAGGAAACTTCCCCAACCCACAAGGCATCGGACTCTAAGAGGCGGCGGTCGGTGGACAACAGCACTGAGCGGGAACCTAAAATGCCCAGGTCTGCAAATTCTTCCGGCTCTATTAACCCTGTTCGGGCTCAAATGGCCTTCAATGATGTCGCTAAAGACCATCTAGTCCTAGCAATTATCGATAAGCGACGCCCGGAGGGGAACCTGATGGCGGACAATTGGAAGTCCGTCCCTGTGGGCCTCTGCCGGGTCGATAAGGAGATTCTGGACACACTGTAGTCGGAGATGCGAGTCTTTACCAAGCCCGCATCAAATTCGTTTCCTGTGCCGACGAAATGTCGGTGAACTATACAAGGAAGCCATAGCCATGCTGGGGAACTGTGGCCGGCGCATAAGGAAGAAATTCCTTGTAGTTCACGGACCAGTGCCTGGGTGCCAGAAGAACCCGCCAAGCCCGAAGGTATCTTGGAGATAATCCAGCTTTCCGAAGATTCACTAAAAACCCTTGATTGGAGAGTAGTGGAGGATCAGCAATATAACATGCTTGTGATAAACGAGGAGTCTCTGCCCATTCTCGCTGAAAACAATGGGGTAATAAGCTACGGTTTTTACTCCATAACCCTTAAAACCAAAAAGGGAATTATGGCATTTCCCAAAACACGGAAGGCACTATAAATGAACCCGTGGCTTCCAACCCTGTTTCTCAGGACGGCTCCATGAAAGGGGAGAGTGAACCAGCTCCGCCCCAAGGAAACCTGGACGGACAAGTGGAGACTCAGACCCGGGGGCCAATGTAGGCACTGATAGCGATGCTAGTTCCGTTAGTAGCGCTTTACCACTTTGGCTGGTCTCATCGTACATGGCACACGACCATGCCACTTATCCCCCGACCCGGTTGCGGGACGTTGTGAAAGAGGCCAATAAATGGAAATTTCCAATCGTGATCGGTAGCGATGCGAACGCACATCATTCGCTGTGGGGGTCAGTCCATGGATATTAACAATCAGGGTGAGTCTCTTATGGATTTTATTTTTTCAAATAGCCTAGCAATTTGTAACCTCGGAAGTAGGCCAACTTTAGTAACCTCTAACAAAAGGAAAGTCCGTGTTCTCCTCCCATCACAAGATATGAGAAAAGGGGCACTCCTGAAGGAGGAGTATTCTCACCACACTCTTCTCATGCGCCTACAGGGCACCGGCTGCAACGCTATTGCATACGTCGATGACCTTGCCTTAACTGCAACCGGTAAACACCCAAAAATAATGGGAGAACTGTTGCAGAACGCCTTGAGTATCGTGTAAACCAGGTGTAGAGAATGCGGACTGACCGCCAACCCGGCTAAAACGGTCACGGCTCTCTTTACACGGAAAACAAAAATCCCCCTATAAGGCGTAAAGCTATCGCTCACTAATAAAGTGAAATGCTTGGGCGTCATCTTGGACATGAAATTAATCTGGCAACGCAACGTAGAGGAGCGGGCCAAAAACACCATTACCGCTCTCTACCAATGTAAAACGACTATAGGCAAGAAATGGAGTCTCGAACCCCACAAAGTTCACTGCATTTAAACAGCAGTGGTACGTCCTATATTATTCTGCTCGAGAATATCTAAGTGCTCCACTCGTATCCCTTCCAAGAAGGACGACTCGGTCTGGGGCCTCCAAGATAACATGGTGGTGGTGAACATACCAAAACTACGACACTTAAAAATGACTACCAGAAAAAAACTAGAAGGCTTTGAAATATTTTTTTTTTAGTATAATACTTTGAAGTTTATATATATGTAATTAAAGTGTTAAAATATTAGTTATTATTTGCTCCTAATTTTTGGTCTCGGCCCAAACCGACAAACGGTTGTAGTGCCAAATAAGAAAAAGAAGAAGAAGATTTGCTCCATATGCAAGTGATCGGACTTTTCGTCGCACACGCGCCATCATCTTCTGCACGAGTGCATCATCGGCTTTACGCGACGACCATAACCACTTTGTTTTGAATTCTTCGATATTTCTTACAGTTTCACCCGTCTTCTTTAATATCCCTTTCAGGATTGACCAATATTCCTCAATAGGACGTAGCTCTGGGCTATTGGGTGGATTGCAGGTGCGAGGTACAAAATTGATGTTGTTTGCATTATACCATGGTAATGTGTCTTTGGCATAGTGGCAGCTGCCAGGTCCGACTAGAACAGTGGTCTAGTACCATGTCTGTTGATAAATGGCAAAAAAACGCTTTTTGAGGCACTCATCCCGATAAACTTGAGCGTTCATTGTCCCGGATGTGAAATAAGGGCTGCTCTTACAGACACAGGAACAAATAGCTTGCCAAACCATGTATGTTTTTGGAAATTTGGACTTCGTTTTCAGCTTACAGCTTTCAGGGTCATCTTGACGACTTGCAGCAGTATAAAAAATTTGACCAGCAATATATTCGAAATTTTCAAAGCAGTAGGTTTTGTCGTCCATAGCAATGCATTTGTATTCGGGATTCATACAACTTCCGGCTGCGAGACTTAGATGTAACATTCTGCTTTGCGCCTCGATATAGCGCTGTTTGCGCTTTAAAACTTCTCAATGAAGCTTTCCGCTTTACCTTTTGTACGAAAGAATGCGATTTACGAACATATTTTGCAACAGAACGCGAGCTAATCTTCGTATCTCGCGAAAACGCATTGAGGACCTTCCGAGCACTGTTTTTATCACTTTGNCTCCAAGATAACATGGTGGTGGTGAACATACCAAAACTACGACACTTAAAAATGACTACCAGAAAGAAACTAGAAGGCTTTGAAATATTTTTTTTTTAGTATAATACTTTGAAGTTTATATATATGTAATTAAAGTGTTAAAATATTAGTTATTATTTGCTCCTAATTTTTGGTCTCGGCCCAAACCGACAAACGGTTGTAGTGCCAAATAAGAAAAAGAAGAAGAAGATTTGCTCCATATGCAAGTGATCGGACTTTTCGTCGCACACGCGCCATCATCTTCTGCACGAGTGCATCATCGGCTTTACGCGACGACCACAACCACTTTGTTTTGAATTCTTCGATATTTCTTACAGTTTCACCCGTCTTCTTTAATATCCCTTTCAGGATTGACCAATATTCCTCAATAGGACGTAGCTCTGGGCTATTGGGTGGATTGCAGGTGCGAGGTACAAAATTGATGTTGTTTGCATTATACCATGGTAATGTGTCTTTGGCATAGTGGCAGCTGCCAGGTCCGACTAGAACAGTGGTCTAGTACCATGTCTGTTGATAAATGGCAAAAAAACGCTTTTTGAGGCACTCATCCCGATAAACTTGAGCGTTCATTGTCCCGGATGTGAAATAAGGGCTGCTCTTACAGACACAGGAACAAATAGCTTGCCAAAC